AAATTAGTCATGGAAATAGGGGAAGGGGGGTTGGGGTTGATAATATGCGGCTGGTTACGCGACCACGAGGGTTTGTTGAAGAGGAAGTGAGAAAGAAAGTGCGGGAAAATGCAGGCAGTTATGTGACCGTTGGCCATGCCAAGCTCGGAGCTTGCAGGTTCTTTTGCGCGCATAAAACCGGGATCCTCAACCGGATCGCCGTTGCTTCTGCTGCTGCTAGCAAACGCTGACCTAGAGACTGGCTAGTTTGGCGGGACCTTCTAAATTACCTACCACATTGATAGAAATCATTCGTAAAGGAGTGGCAGCCCGCTGGGATTTGCATAACCCCGTGAAAAATCAAAGACCCACTGCAGCATGCTTTGAGATGTTCCTTATGCACCCCTCAGCACGAAACACGCGCATAAACTTACATAAGCACACAGGCAATGAAGAAGCAGTCCGATGATTCATCATCGGCGTAAACCACCTAAGCAGTGGGCTGCGTTAACTTGTTTCCAGCGCAGTATGTAGAGCGTATTAGCCGACGATACGCACACAGGCAAGCTCGGACACCTGTGCCGCCTTGTTGCTGGACAGTGGCGCAGCGCACACTAATGGACCGGCCGGTATGGCTCTGGTGCAACCGAGCCTAATGAACTGACCTGCGTTCCAACTGCTAGTAACCAAAAGTGGCCTGTGGGAACGGACCATTAGTCGGTACACACAGAGGGGTACTTCCAGACGCACATTTGCATATACAGAGAAAAAGGACGGATTTTTTTACCGCCAATTCCGAGCTTTGTATACATATATAGTGGAGCGGCGGTGAAAGAGTCTAACCCGTTCCGGTGTCAAACTCGTCATGTGAAAGGCTCGTCTTGCGAAACGCAGCTAATCAAACTGCAGCAGTTCGCTGATTGGCTGCAGGCGACCGTGCACCGGGGAGTAACACGCAACGGTGGACAGAGGCGCTGATAACTCGTTAATTGAGCGAAAGCCCATCAATCGAAACAACTTTTCTGCGAGTGGCTCGCTCGTTATCTGAAATACTCGTAGATGGGGCTGTTCGTTTACCGAGACTGCATTGTGCAGCATTTCCAGTTTATATTTCCTCTACGTGAGAACGTTTCATACAGTAGGTGGTGTCTTATGAAATCTTAACCAAAATTTAACAGTGCCTTTTCGATTAGAAATTATTGATTAGGTTGATTTGTTACCTTGATTTTCATGCAGCATAATCTCCCAGATATTTCAGTCACACCAGAATGTCGGCTTTGAGCACCCCTTTTTCGGCCGCTCGCGACAGCCGCAATCTGTCCTAAATAACTGCTTAAATCCTGTGCGTTTTCTACTGATTTACAATGTCCTCATAAATTGAAATAAATTTTATAGGAAACATATGCAAGGTAACCTTTCTGGTACTTATTCAATAGCCAACGTTATATCAAATGTTATATCCAGTTTTCGGTTTAAAATATGTTTTTTTTATTTTGGGAATAATTTTGAATTGGATTTACTGCTGCAAACTATATGGATTCCGTGTACGAAAACCCTGTGTGACTCTCCATCATTAAAAACGCCCCGAACGGATAAGATGCTACCTGAATAGGCACTTTCCGCGATTTCAAAAAATCTCATAATTCTAGATCCTAACTTTTCATTTAAGTAACAGACTTGAGGCAGAAGAAATCGAATGAATATGAGGAAGGGCATTTTTTCAGATATTATTTGAATTTATAAGAGCATCAAAAATCCATGGAAATATCACGCAACTTAAGTTTTGAAACATTGTTTTCACGGAAGAAATTTGAACAAGGCGGTCGCCTTGTCGACCTTAAGGTCGTACTTCGAGCGACGACCGGGCGTCTCCTACGGTTTGCGGAGGCCGCTGCAATACGGAGAAAAAAACCAGAGCTCTGTAGACAGTTGGATCATGTGATCAACCTCGCATTGCCGTGGTAACGATCGATTAACTCATTCCCTCTCACGCCTCCTCGCTCCCCTTAGGACTGGCTGCCATCCC